CGTACCCGAATCATGACACTCACAGTTCTATTCCTGTTCTTCCTTGCACAAAGGAGCAGATACCGGTCCTGCTGCTGAGTTGCTGCCCTTCTACGGCCCAGTTCAGCTCTCCTGGTGTAACCGCCGGTCTCCTGGTATCTCTCCCATGCTCTAGAGCCTGTTCTGGGAGACAGCAAACCTTCTTGTGACTGCACAAATGGTTGTCCCATTTTGGAATAACTGGACTACCTGTGCAACCTGACTGGGCTGCAGGTACTGCCTCATGCTACCAGCAGTGACAATGACACTAGCAAAACCCAAAACTTGAGAAAAATCATTTAAGAAGGATCAGGAGAGAGCATTTGCCTGTGGCCAGCACATGCACAATCCCTTTTGGGGGTTGTCTTGCTTTTGCATCTTCATTGGACTTGTTGTCACTTTCATTGGCACCAAAGCAGGTGAAACTGATTCACAATCACTTGTACTTCCCACGTTGACAGACTGATATCCCTGGAGTTCAACTGACCTGGTGTTATACTGTAATGATTAGGTGTTTGAGCAGTTTAGTTGAATTTCAAGTGTGTAAAAAAATACATTTTAAACAAAAATAAACAGGAGCTAAATAGTCATCTTATCAAAAGCAAGCTCTTTTTTGCAACATTCTCCTTCATAAAATAAATGCATATCACAGCTGACTAGCTTGTAAAAAGGAAGTGAAAGTTATTGCCTGTTTTGCGGTGTCTACTGCTTTAGCTAAGCAACAAGTGGCTTTAATATTCCTACAAGACAAAGGAGCAAGACGGAGACTCACAAATTCCACTGTAATCCAGTTCATCTTCTTCTTTTTTAATTCACATGTCTGCTGGTTTGGACGTGTCAAACATCAGCATGACATGTTAAATATTCTCACACAGTCTGCTGAAAGCTGTTTGGGGGGTGGGGGGGTCTCTGCATCCTGTCAGCAGTTATTCAAAGAAGCTATTGTAGCTTCATGCCACTTGGAACACAACTTTGAAGCTGTGAACCCCAGTCCTGCAAGCTCACATTGTTGCTTAAAGAAAGAGGAAGCATACCAGCCTGCAACTATAAAAACAGAAAAGAAAGTGAAATCAGCAAGACTTCTCATCCATCTCTATTTATACCATCAGGCAAGAAATAATTTAAATCACCAGCCAGTATTTGATTTATTTATCTCTTAATTCAACAAACACTCATACACGATGATTAGTTCCATTAAGTCACAATTAATATGGTCAACAGGAAGAGAATATCAGACATTTTTCATATAACACAGTTAGGACCCACTGGATTGCACTTTGAATTCACTCCTCCAGAATGACACTTGAAACACCAAGAAAACAAACGAGCCAAGGAGGATTAGACTACGAAAAGATGGAAAATAAAATGCAAAATGAAAACAAATGGGGAAAACATCTCTTCAAACAACTATACATACATTTTGGTTTATTATAATCCACAGAGTACCATCTGATTTGATAGGTGCCTTGGTCTTTTATTCTTTCTCTGAGGTAGAACAAATGTTATAGCAGATCAAGAACCAATAGAAACATTTTCAATTGTTTTTCACATATTTCATTCCACAGATATAAACATGTACACACTCACATTTAGACCCACAGACATTTTCACTGGATCTTTAACAACCTTGCCTGAAGACTAATGCCTGCTGACTTGTTAATGCCCGCATAGGCTGTATAATCACTCCCTCTCATGCCGAGGTGCTCTGTCCAGTTGATAAAACATGTTTTCTGGAACGAGTAGACTACTTTGCACTGAATGTAAAGTTTATTATTGCACATTATCACTAAGGCAAAATAAAAAGATGCATATTTCACACACATAATCCTCCTCATGAGCTTCTATGTCTAGTGGTCAACATGATATTTTGATAAGGTCATGACAACCTGCCGGAGTGCGCGTCCTTTTAGGAGATCACCATTCAGTAAAGCACTGTAACCTGAAACTCTCAGTCGTGGAGATCGTACCTGAACGCTTCTATAAGCGCTTCAATCGAGTGAATGAAGCCAGATATGGCGCATATGCCTCCAATAACAAAAATAGCAACATCAAAGAAGACATAGTGCCACAGGAGATTTCTCTACTGGAGCTTCAGGTGGAAGAGGCTTGGCAAGAGGAAGCATAGGCCAGCGCCGGTGAGGCTCCCCGTTAAACCCATCAGGAGGGCGAAATGGGGGACAAAGACGGCCATAAGCAGGGTGAAGACTACCAGGCCGACTCGAAGACTCAAACCCCATGATTTCAATGTCCCAGCAGGGCCGTAGCAGTCAGGGAAGGGGGTTCTCCCACCATCCTGGAACAAGGATTTCTCCAGAACCTCAACTGCAGCAAAGAATGGCAGCGGATAAGATAAAAAGGACAGGCTAGGTTCAAGCCCCTCCTGGAACCGCCACCCTATTGTGGTGGAGGGGTTTGAGTACCCGAGTGATCCTATGTTGTCGGGGGCTATATGTCCCTGGTAGGGTCTCCCAAGGCAGACTTCTCATTCATCTCTATTTATACCATCAGTCAAGAAATAATATAAAATAACCAGCCAGTATCTGATTTATTTATCTCTTAATTCAACAAACACTCTGCCTCATACACGATGATTAGTTCCATTAAGTCACAATTAACATGGTCAACAGGAAGAGAATATCAGACATTTTTCATATAACACAGTTAGGACCCACTGGATTGCACTTTGAATTCACTCCTCCAGAATGACACTTGAAACACCAAGAAAACAAACGAGCCAAGGAGGATTAGACTACGAAAAGATGGAAAATAAAATGCAAAATGAAAACAAATGGGGAAAACATCTCTTCAAACAACTATACATACATTTTGGTTTATTATAATCCACAGAGTACCATCTGATTTGATAGGTGCCTTGGTCTTTTATTCTTTCTCTGAGGTAGAACAAATGTTATAGCAGATCAAGAACCAATAGAAACATTTTCAATTGTTTTTCACATATTTCATTCCACAGATATAAACATGTACACACTCACATTTAGACCCACAGACATTTTCACTGGATCTTTAACAACCTTGCCTGAAGACTAATGCCTGCTGACTTGTTAATGCCCGCATAGGCTGTATAATCACTCCCTCTCATGCCGAGGTGCTCTGTCCAGTTGATAAAACATGTTTTCTGGAACGAGTAGACTACTTTGCACTGAATGTAAAGTTTATTATTGCACATTATCACTAAGGCAAAATAAAAAGATGCATATTTCACACACATAATCCTCCTCATGAGCTTCTATGTCTAGTGGTCAACATGATATTTTGATAAGGTCATGACAACCTGCCGGAGTGCGCGTCCTTTTAGGAGATCACCATTCAGTAAAGCACTGTAACCTGAAACTCTCAGTCGTGGAGATCGTACCTGAACGCCTCTATAAGCCCTTCAATCGAGTGAATGAAGCCAGATACGGCGCATATGCCTCCAATAACAAAAATAGCAACATCAAAGAAGACATAGTGCCACAGGAGATTTCTCTACTGGAGCTTCAGGTGGAAGAGGCTTGGCAAGAGGAAGCATAGGCCAGCGCCGGTGAGGCTCCCCGTTAAACCCATCAGGAGGGCGAAATGGGGGACAAAGACGGCCATAAGCAGGGTGAAGACTACCAGGCCGACTCGAAGACTCAAACCCCATGATTTCAATGTCCCAGCAGGGCTGTAGCAGTCAGGGAAGGGGGTTCTCCCACCATCCTGGAACAAGGATTTCTCCAGAACCTCAACTGCAGCAAAGAACGGCAGCGAATAAGATAACAGCGCCTTGGCTACGAGGAAGAGGTTCACCACTGCCCGGATGGTTGCAGGCAGGTTATCCGTGATGACCTCTTTGGTGGCGTCTGCCCATGTCAAGTAGGCCACTAAAGCAAAGAGGCCCTTGAGGACGCAGGCGGCGATGTGAGTCCACTCCATCATGCAGTGGAATTCGCTTGGCTTCTGCATGTTTCCCTCCAGGGAGGGGAGGAAGATCTGGGAGGTGTAGCTGAACACTATGATACCGATTGAAATAGGGAATTTCTTCACATCGATATAAAACTTGACCTTCTCCCACGCCCACTCGCGCGCCCTGGAGAGGCAGTAGGCAATCACGAGGATGTTGATGACGAAGTGCGCCAGAGTGCAGAGGAAACTGAGCTTGGACACGGCCTTGAGGTTCTTCAGGAAGGCGCACGGCAGGAGCGCGACCGTGGCCAACACAGACCAGGCTTTCTGGGAGACAGGAAACCCAGGGAAGCTGTTGTACATCAGACTCCCGCTGACCACGACGTAAAGAATACAGGTCATAATCAACTCGATAATCTGAGCCACATTCACAATGTGCCCACCCAGCCTTGGGTAGCGGGGCACGCAGCAGGCATTAGCGATGTCCACATAAGAGTCCCTCACGCGAACCTTGATGCCGTCTTCGTTCTCTTCGTACAGACACGCAATGAGGATTTTCCCGGTGTAGCAGCACACCACCGCCGCGAAGATAATGAGGAAGAGACCGAGGTAGCCGCCGTGGAGGATGGCGTACGGCAGGCCGAGGACGAACATGCCCTGCGGACAGAGAAGCGCAGTTGAGTGGTGATGGACGAGGCCCCACCACAGTGACAGGCCGCACCAGCTCAGACACGCATCAACTGGCTCACAGTCACGTCTTACCTAATAACAGTAACACGAATGAAATTTTGGCACATTAAAATAACATTAGGCTGCCACACTGGAATGTGTGATTTATCCCAGCTGCTTCATTTACACAATTATGTCCACATGTGCATCGCCTTAGAAAAACAGGCCGTTCGATTGTTTAGGTTGCTCGAATGAAGTTATTAAAAAAGACAATTTAAAAACGAATTTTAGAATGAATTTGATTAAACACTAAAATTTGAAGAAGACAGTGATAAGCTAGTGGGTGCAGGGCTATCAGACTCAAACAGGCCCTGTCTGCTGCTCCACTGATAAAAAGATTTGAATAAATAAAGTCTAAGGCCGACTGCCTGCACTGAGTTTACTCACGAACTACGAATTAGCCTATTCGTAAAACTAAAGGCTGGATTTATTTATGATGAAATAGGTTATACTGTATCTCACTAAAGATAATGTTACTAGACAGTAGGCCTATGTGGGGCACCCCCAGGATGCCCTGTTTCTGCTTGCACCATCAGATGACTTTTGTCTGACTGCAGGCCTGGTAGATGCAGCACATGGTATTTTTGCATTCACACACGATGTCAGTAATCACATCCTACCTGAATGGCGTTGGTGACATTCCAGCCAGCTTCCCATGATGTGATTTTTGGTTTTTCTTCTTCCAGAGAGCCCCCTGTCTTCAGGGATGAAGGCCTGGGGCCATTGCTGTCTCTCTGGTAGTGACTGTCTCCCTCCAGCTCACCATCTCCTTCCATGTGCCCTCCTTCCTCTTCTCTTTCAAGGACATCCATTTGCGTCCCTTGCCTGTAGTCATAATCCAAGTCGTCGCACTCGGCGAAGCCTAGACCCTCCTCGTCCGTCGCGGCCTGGAAGCCCAGCCGGGCGAACATCCCGCTGACCTTGGCCTGAGATGTGTGGGACATGGTGTGGGCAGCATTGGTCAGCTTGTTGGTGATCTTGTGTCGGATTAGGTGAGCCATCTTTATCCTAATAAAATATGGCCTTCAACTTTAAATGATATTACCGAGTAAAAAACAACGACGCAGATGGATGCAGGGTGATGTAGCTTTCTATATGTGCTGCTGTAAAACCATGCCTGTTGCCTCTTCGGTGTCGCGTTATTCAGCCTTATAACCGTTTCACCCAAAAAAATGAAGTTCTCTCAAACGCCTTTCTTGGCTTGGTCATCCATATTAATCCTTGGCATCTGCCTCAACGAAGAAAAATATACAAAAGGTATGCAGGCATATATCCCCCAACTGTCGTTAGAAAGGACAAATGAGCATTTTCCCCCAAGCTGGTTCGTCGGGGTGGGGGGGTCCGGCTGGTGGACGTGTCCGCGTAGAGTGCCAGAGTAACCGCTGGCGCACAGCAGCGGAGAAAGAGAGAGAGAGAGAGAGAGAGAGGGTGATCACGACTAGGCTGCCAATGGACCAGTGTTACTGCACCTGAACAAAGGAGTCAAACATTTCACCTTCATTCATGCTCCATTCTGTCAGCACATCGATGAGCATCAGTAAGCGTCATGCACGTATGTGCTAAATGAATAATTCCGCATCAGCAAAATGTAGTTTCAAAAAATAGTCCATGTATTTTTTTAAACAATTATTTTTGTATTTGCTTTATTAACACTGAAAATTCAAGAACGATCCATTTTTCGTTAGGTACAATTTAACTGTCCTACCAGCTCGATTGTATTTTAACATGTGAAATGAATCTAAAATTTGCGAAATGAAGCATGTGGACTACAACATGTCCTGCTTTCAGACGCTGTACAGTCAAACCAGAGTCCACAGTCCGCACTTAATGCTAAATAATGAAATTACATTTCTAAATTAGACTCACACATTTGCCAATCAAAATATTTTGTTGAATCGTCTAATAATGTTTTCTTTTTTCTTACAAATTGTTTTTCTGTCGAAGTAGAATTATTACAAATGACTGAATTCACGATACGTATAAAAACATTATTCAGATATTTTCACATGAGGCTACACCTCACCTTAATACATAATTGTGTGTCTGAATCTCTCAGGCATGCACAGGGCAAACGATTTTGTTTCTTGTTAATTTAACAACTTGATTCCAGACGTGGAGGGGATGCAACGGGTTGCTGACGGGGTGAGCACCGTGCAGCACCATGGACAGCGTTTTAAGAAATGCTACAAAATATGAGCATCATTCCAAGACAAAAACGCAAAATGGGCGAGAAGTCTAAATTTAGAAACCAGCCAGGGGACAGAGAGAGTCCCGCACATTTTCATGCTTGGTTTGGGCTCCAGTCAACGGCTGTTTGTGTTCAGACCAACACAGGTTTTGTTAGTGAGTGTGTGTCATCGGTGTCTGGGTGTGTGTGAGTTTGCCTGTGTGTGCATGTTCCTTGAGGCATCCTCTCCCTCTCCCACATGCACAAACCCCTGGCTAACGCGAGGACGGTGGATCGGCTGTAAATGTTAATTTAGGCTCGATGTGTGTATGAGTGAGAGACAGGGTGGGGACTAAAGCTTCATTGTGTGTGTGTGTGCGCGCGCGCGCGAGAGAGAGTGTGTATGATTGAGATACTGCGGGGTTTATAGTCTCGTCTAACAGCCGTGCAGTCCTGGCAGGGACCAATAATCTCTGATAGTTACCATGGCAGCTAATTGGACAGGGTGTGTGCATGTGCTGAGATTTTGGAGAAAAGAGATTTTCTCAGCACAGGGTGTTTCTGGTGTTTGAAGTCTGCACGGGGAGGGAGCAACCCATTATAACATTTAAGCCAATTGCAAACACCTGCTTTTACAGTCACAAGAATTTACATTATATGACTATGCCTATAAAACATCTGGATTTGTATCAAGCAGTGCACAGTAATTGGCTAATGGTGACCATGCTGTTTGGAGAATGGCAATAATAGAGAAATAATTTTGATTTTGATTTGATTTATTCTTTCAAGCATGTAAAGACAGTTGATATGACAACACACATAATTTTACACATAATCCAATATCAATTTGCTTATACCTAGAACATGCTTGAATGGAGTAGGAAGAAGTCAGACTTATCCAGTCCTACCCCATGACATCATCTTACCATCATTGGTTTGCAAGCAGTAAATGATTCTCTTCTACACCACACAAGCATTATACTAAAAAAATTGTGTTAACATTCTTACATAATTACATTCTTAAATAATTATCTTCTACACCACACAAGTAATATACTAAAGAATTATTACAGAGTGTTAACATTCATACACCACACCCACAATGTTCCATCTAATTAATCATTAAGCCT